AGGCTTTAGGAAGGTCTAGAGATGCCGCGTTACGGAGGACGGGTGAGATCTTACGGGAAGCGTATCGGTCGAGGTTACGGCCGCGTCCGCAAAGGTGGGATAAGCCGAGGCCGCCGAGGACGAAGAAGTTGGGGCCGAGGTCGCGTTGGTATGCGAAGGAGAAGTACTATAGGTCGCGTGGGCAACCGTTCTAGGGCTTTTCCGCGTGTTGTTTCCTACAGGGTATCTAATGTGTTGCAGAATATTCCGCCGGGTGGTTGGAAGTTGTGTATGGTTGATTCGGTGCGACCAATTCAGTTGTTAAGTTTGTGGAAGTCGTTTAAGGTTGTTGGTGCCATGGTTGCTGTGAAGCGTCATCAACCTTCGCCAATTGTATTTGATGGGTCTATTGCTCAGGTTGCTCATCAGGAGTTGTGGTGGGCGCCTTGGTCTGGTGTAGATGAACCTATGATTCATCCGAGGCAGATGGCGTCTGCTATTCTTGTTGGTGATAATTGGACGTCAAAGTATATTCGTAATTCTGTGCCTGTTAGTCAGCGTTTTCATTATGATAATCGTGATCCTAAAGGTGGTATTGAGCAGGTTGTTGAGTTTTTCAAGGCTGGCTCTCCGCCTTGGTTGCCTATAGATCGTAGTGGTCAAGATGATGCTGGTAAAGATTCTGGCAAGTTTGCTTCGCAGCAGTCTATTGGTTACTTTTATGTTGACGGGCCTACTAATTCTAGGGTAACTGTTGATGTTGAGTTGAAGTTGACTATTGCTTTGAAGGGTCGTAAGTGTTTGGGTGGTAAGGTCGATGAGTCTGGGCCTATTAATGCTAATAATGCTGGGGTTTCTATTGGTAATGAGGATATTGGGAGTAATTTAGGGGCTGATTTGCCTGTTGAGGATGCTGATAGTGTTGATTAGTTAGCTTTATGTGTTTTAATTTAAAAACTGTGTCCTACTTAGGACAGTAAACTTCATTCATGTATATGATGTCCGTGATTCTTCGCATTAGGGCGTCCTTATTTTCTACATGTGGATACCATCTTTCTGGTTCTACGTTGCTGGTGATTATAAATTTTGTTGCGAGCAAGTCGGTCATGGATCCTTTAATGGGTACTTTAATTGGATTTTCGGACAACCAGCGTAACATGTCACAAAATTTTTCCGATCCGTAAAAGTCATCAAAGATGACTAATTCTTGGCCGAAATAGCCGTCCCACCAGGGACCTGCTGGTTTGACGTAATAGTCGTCTGAGACAGCGCGTGCTGTGTGTGATTTGCCAGTTCCGGGAGGTCCCCAGAGGACGATGACTTCGGGTTTCGGTCTTGCGAACGTTACTTTTTTCAATGTTTGTTGTATGCAGTTACTGCTCCATGGTGTTTCAACATCCAGGTGGGCTCTTCTTCCCACAGTTGAGCGATGCTGAGTGATTGCCACCAATTTGGTTCCCTGGCGCATTCCGGTACGGTTCCTGCTTCTACTGG